TTTTTTTTTTTTTTTTAACTGCCAAGAGTCTATTCCCTCAACTTCACTAATCTAACTGACTACATGTGTGGCTTCCACAATTCAGCAACCACATGCCTGGCCTCTCACACCACATGAGGACTATGCTGTTGGAGGAAAAAACTCAAGTACTCAATCTCTGCTGCGTATTCTCAACGTGGTCATTTGAGGATTGTGCTAAAATTGCAGCAATTTAAAAGAATTCAAGTGGCATGTGTCTGAATTTGCCTATCAACATAATTTCAATAATTTTTTAAATTTTAGAATAGAATATTCTATGGAATGTTTTCTTAAGGTTAGACTAGGATTGTGGGTTTTGAGAGGGAGACCACAGAGGCAAAGTATGATTCTTACTGCATCATATCAAGGGGACATGCTATCAACATGACATCACTGAGATGTCAACCTTGGTAACTTGGCTAAGGTATCATCTGCCAGGTTTCTCCACTGTAAAATTCCTCTCCCCGCCTTTTGATGGAAGTCACTCTTCCCAGCCCATACATATGAGGTGAAGAGCCATGTTCTACTTTCATGAGAGAGAAATACCTGCATAATTTATGTGGAATTAATTCTGTATGGAAGATGTGTCTTCTCTCTCCAATTTTTATATTTATTCAATCATTTATTTATATCAATATGAACTCATGAAAACTTATTTTATACTTTGGGCTATAATCCAAAACTACATTATTTATCCAGTTTGGGCCATTGGGAGCTCTTTCTGTCAGCTCTTATGCCCCTTTAATATACCATCATTTTATTTTTTTCAGCACTTCCTTACTTTTTGGCCCGACTACATACTACACGGCCAGGTTCATCCTGTATATCCCGTGCTCCTGCCCTGGAATGGTTTCTCCTAGGAGTCTGGTCCCTTTCAGTGGAGAAGGATAATAGAAAACAAGATCTGGGTGCTGAGTGAAGTACCTTAATATTTTCTGGCAATCATTCTTAGAATAAGTTCACAATGACAAACATTCATATTTTTTTCCTCAGATGTAGTTTAGGGCAAGATCTACTAAACTGTGAGGTAAATTTGATCATAGAATCGTTTTCCTATAAGAGAGGTTTGCTATAAAGATCGGGGGTCAGCCAACTGTGGCTCGCAGGCCAGAAGATGCTGAGCCAAGAATAGTTTTTACGTTTTTTAATGGCTGGAAAAAAATCAAAAGAATAATACTATTTTGTGATATGTAAAAATTATATGAAATTCAAATTTCCGTGTCCATAAATAAAGTTTTACTGGGATACAGTTACACCCAACTGTTTACATACTGTCTATGGCCATGACTCAACAATGGCACAGTTAAGTAATCGCAACAGAAAACAAATGTGCTGTTCTCATTGCACCTACTGCTGCTCAGCTGACTGTAAATTTCAGCGGCACAGTTAGAACTTGACAGCATTTCAAGCGCCACGCCTACTAGGATATTTTCTTTATTTGTATTACCAGTATGCACTCCACATATTTAAGACAGAAAAGAATAGTAGACTTCAAATATTTCATTTTTAAAGCAGAGCATAGTGTAGATTATTTTCTTATCATATTAAATGGCAAAACATTGTGTTTATTTTGTAATAACATTATAGCTTTTCTAAAAGAATAAACACTACCAAACTGAGCAGTCATCACAATATTCCTAATTTAAAGAAAAGCAACAGGTTGAAAAATCAGAAAACATAAAATGTCTGTGTCTCATCACAACATAATTTCTTCACAAAAATAAAAAGTCAAAATGAGGCCACAACGAAACTAAGTTTCTGAGTGGCTCATTTGTTAGCCAAGCAAGGAAAGCCATTTACCAATGGAGATTTAATTAAGTCAGGTGCGATTGCAGCAGCCAAAGTCATGTGTCCACGTGAAATCAGTTTGTTAAAGAATATTAGCCTTTCGGTAAGAATAATTGCTTGAAGACTTGAGAACACAGGGAGAAACATTAATAGTCATTTTTTTTATAGACAACTTTTTCTGAATGGTATTCTTGGCTTCTGACAAGATGACAGATGTTACTGATACTGCTTAGTTGTGCTTGTTTATTTCAGGAGCCAATGCTAAATGTGGACAAACTCAAGAATTAGCCTCTAAGAAGCCTGTGTGTAACAAATACAGACAAAAATATTTTCGGAGAAGTTGAAAAAACACTAATTCATTACAACCTGAAGTGGAATCTGCTAAGATTTTTTTACAACTGTTGGTGGTAAAAATATGTGTGAAGCTAAAGGCTTAAAAGTTTACAAAGCTAATGAAAATGCAAGGTGCTAAAGTCTGTTTTCTTATTGTATTATTCATCAGCAAGCACTTTGTGTAAAATATTCGTGTGTTATTGAAGCAATAGTGTTAATGGTGCATTTTATTTACTTGCATGGAGTAAAACATCATCAGTTCCATGACTTTTTCTCAGATGTAGAACTCAATATCCTGGCTTGCCTTACCACAAAGCAGTTCAATGCCTTAGTGGTGAAAAAGTTTTACTGCAATTTTTTAGCTCAGGGCCGAGACTGAATTTTTTCTGAATGAAAAGAAATAAACACTATTATTGAATACTTCAAGCTTTTGGAAACGAGTTTTGCTATAACTTGATAATGTTCCTAAATGAATTTAACCTAAAATTACCAGACAAAAACAGTGTGTATATGGAAAATTTATACTGTGGGGATCATTCTATTGTTTTAATCACAAGTAAAGTCAAGCTGCTTTATATATTCTGAATGCAACCAAAAGTTCAAACAAAAAGTGAGATCTCAATTCCCACACAAATGTGTAGTGGATTTATTTTCTAAGCTCAAACTGCATTCATGCTATGTTTGTCACACTTTGTTGCAAATGCAAAGGAAATTTCCACATTCAGAATCTATTTATCTGTAAAATTGAGGACCTTCCATCCAACCTTGAACTAGAATTGGTTAACTCGCAGTGTAGTGACATGCTAAAAGTCAAATCTCAAAAGAAGAATATAATAGAATTCTATAAATGCCTTCTAAGCAATGAATATGCTCAATGAAAACCATATGCTTATGAATTAATAGCAGGATTAGGCAGTGCCTATTAATATCTGTATGAAAAGACATTTTCAAAACTAAAATAGGTAAAATCTCATTACAATCACCATTAACAGATGAACATTTGCAATTGATTTTGATGATAGGGATTACTAACTTTGAACTCTAATTAAATGAAATGTTATCCCCCAATATAATTCCATTCTTCTCATTCGTAAGACCTATAATACAAAAATGTTACCATTTTCAAAATTATCAAAGAAATGGAATTTCATCAATAAAAAGTTTTATAGAAATGTGTTTCTATCTTGTTATATAAGTATCCATATAATATCCTTGATTTTGCCTCATGGTCTGCAAAGCTTAAAATAGTTACTATCCTGCTCTTTATAAAAAAGGTTTGCCAAGTTCTGCTAAAGATAATTAATTGATACAAATTTAAGCTATCATTTTGAAATTCAAAATGATATTCAGGCTTTAAATTTTAATTTTTATTGAGACTATTTATGTCATATGTTAATCTACAAATGCATATCAAATTTTTGGCTAAAATTGCCTCAATCAGCTGACTACTCTCATAAGTTGGATGGTACATTCATGAAGCCAAGAATATAGGTTCAGACAAATCCCTATCCCTCATGAATGTTTTAGGAAGGAATAGCATTTGTACTATACAGGATCTATTTTAAAATTTTTTATTTATGAAACTGAGAAAAATTACTCAAAGAACATCTGCAATTTATGATAGAACAACATAGCATCTGCTGCTTAAATCTTGTAGATAAATAAATATTTCATTTCTTGTTTCCTATATATTTGCCTGAAAACTGTACTTCTGTTTGAGAGAGGGGGTTACAGATAAAGGTTACGAATATACTGCACATTAAAATGCACATATGTACACACATATACACACAAACGTAGCTCTCAGACCTCTAAAACCTATCCTTGCATCTTAGGTTAAAAACTCTATCTCAGAACCAATAGTTGTGAATTTGTACAATCTTCCAATAGGATATTAAAAGCTATTTTATTTTCTTCCTTCTTTCACACTCTTTTTCCTTTTCCTTTGTCCCCTCTGTTTCTTTTATTTTTCCCTCTTATTTTGCCTCCATTTCTTTCCTTATTCGGGCACAATGTTCATCTTATCCTTGCAGGTGAATTGACCACCTGCTTCATCTTCCTATCAGTGCGTAAATAAGGAAAATGAATGAATCAATTGTAGAGTAAAAGACACTCTCAATCTGAAATTTACATATGTATTTTTCACAGTTAACCAAAGCATGATATCTGTTCCAGTTTTTTTTTTTTTCATTTTAAGAATAAAAGTATTTTCACAAGTGACATAAAGAGGTACAGGCAAGAAATAAGGCAGGTGTATAGGAAAACACGTCACTTCACAACGAAAGTCTTTGGTCTTATATACCAGGAAATGTAAATAATGGGACTCAATTGATTAATTCAGAATTGGAATTGACAAGAATGGGTGCGTAAAGCTGAACAATCACATTTCACAGTTGGGAAACGGAAAAACAGAAGCCAGACTTTTATGAAGCTGACGAATAATCATAACACCAATATCAGTAAACACTTAGGCAATTTAAGACAAATTCAAATGGCATGAAAGTTCTTCATCGTGGTGCACAAGGCATGTGGTAGCACGTAGTTCCAAGCATCACAGACATCTGGGGTGTAACTGTTAAATCATTTGAACCGAATTGAGATAAAGACAGTGAGTAAATCCACACTGTACAGTGAGGCACTGGCACCAGCCATACTGGGGCTCAAAAGCAACGCATCAACAAGGCCTTGCTGTTCCCTAGAGCGTGTGCCCATGCTGGTGTCGAATGTTTGCTGGGCAGCAAATTCTGGCTCAGTGTTTCCTGAAGATTCTCATCCATCAAAAACATTATAAAAACCTGGGTAATACTAGGAAAGAAGCCAGGCAAACCCTTGGTAGAGCAATACTCTCCAAATGGGATTATATTACAAACTATTGATACTATAAATTGAACCATCACCATACCAGTGCTTTACTTCAATGTATTTAATTCCACAACAAACATATGAGAGATTGCTCATCCGTGTTACATGTGAGGAAATTCAGGCTCCTAAGGGACTAATTCAGCCAAGACTTCACAGCTAGCAGTATAAAGGTTGGATTCAAATCCAGTTTTTTATGACCTCAAAGCTTACTCTCTTAACCACAAAGCCATTGAGAAATAAATAACGGATGGTATCAAGTATAGTTCTTTTGCCTTATATGCCTGGAATGCTGAGTGTGGACTGGCAGGACATCGTGAAACCTGTGGGGGCATAGAAACTGTCCAGGTCTTCTTGCAGGCTCTTCCTTTACAAACCCCATATGGTACATTCACAGAAACATTGGAAAGAGCCTCATAAGCATGTATTGTGAGGAAAACAGCTATGCCAGAGGGGCCTAACCCTTTCCCCTGTCTCCACTAAGGAACAGAAGCCTTGATCAAAAGTCATAAGGGAAAACCTGCATCACATTGGGTTAGGCAAAGAGTTTTTGGAAATAGCAAAAATATGACCCTCTAAATCTGCTTCCCCTACAGACTTTCCCATCTCAGCTGTGGTGATGTTATCCTTTATTTACTCCAGCCACAAACTTAGAGTCACTATTAATTCTTTACTTTCTCTCTTTTATCCAAATTTATTCTGTCAGGAATTCCTGCTAGTTCAACCTTCAAAATTTATTCAGGATTGGACAATTTCTTGCCATCTTCACTGTTTCCACCTTGTTCTAAAAACCACCATAATTCCTAATCTAGTCTGTTGCTGTAGTCTTCTAATTGGCCTCACTGATGTTCTTCTTGCCTCAAAATTACTTCCAGAGTGATCTTTTCTAACCTAAGTCAATTCATGGTATTTTGAGGCAAATAATAAAATCTCCCTGAACAGTACATCAAATCATATAAAAAATGAATTTAATGATGATAACTTTTATTGGGTTGATCTAAGGGGTCAATGAGATGATAGATAAAAACCACTATCACACTTAGCATACAGTATGCACTTAATTATAGTAGTATGTGCATCACAGTAATTTTTATGTCATTTCTGACATCTGTTGTCTCCATGAATTAGAAGCTATTAATTATTTCTAAGTTTTGGAGACTGCTATAGCCTGAAAGTTTGCCCCCGCCAAATTCATAGGTTGAAATGCTAACACGCCTGCCCCCAAGGTGGTGGTGTTAGGAGATCAGACCCTTGAGAGGGTAAAGCCCTCATGACTGGGACTAGTGTCCTTATAAAAGAGAACTCACAGCGCTGGCTCTTCCCTTCTGCCATATGAGGACATGGTAAGAAGGTACCTGCTCTGAACCAGGAAGTGGGTCTTCACCAAATACCAAATCTGCCAGTGCCTTGATCTTGGACTTCCCAGCCTTCAAAACTGTCAGAAATAAATTTCTGTTGTTTATAAGCTATTCAATTTATGGTATTTTACTTTATAATAGCTAAAACAAACTAAGACAGAGAATACGATTCAAAGTTCTCTATATTTACAACCATGAAGTTACTGTTTGAAGGAACCCTAGACCCTCATGGATACCACGAGCAGTGTATAAGCTGATTTGATAGGCTGCAAGAATTGCCAGGGGGCCGCCTAGAGATAGGCGTGCCTCCTGCACTGGTTTTCTTTCTAGCTGCAGTGTAGTATTAATGCACGATTATGCGCCGTTGTGTACATTGAAAAATTTACTTGAAAAGTAATCCATGGTTTAAATATTATACCGGCGTCTAATGCCTAAACAATTAACGTTTCCCCCCCCGCATCTGTTCCCACATAACGTAGCTAGACATTTGTATGTTCCTCTTTGGCACAAACAAGAATACCACCCACTATTTTATGTAACAGTGACAGAGGATTGTGGGAATCCTTGTTAATTAAGTCATTCTTCGAGAAACCTATGCTCCTTGAGAATGCAATAGCTTTGTGATTTAAATGATGCGTCTAAGAAGAAACACGTGGCACATGTTACCACGGTAACCTACCAGCCAATCAATTCTGTGCTTCGAGTGCAACACGTTCAGTTCTAGAATGTTTACTGTGCTCACACTTGACGACTGGCTAGTAGAGGCTGGCAACAGGTCTCTTTAGGCTGACGTCGTTTCTCTATACATTTCGTGTATTATTTGAGGGTTTGAACCTAGATTTCGTGGAGAGGCAAGACGAAAAACAGAAAAATCGTACCTGCTTGGGGGTCGAAGAAGCCACCGGGGGCTTTGCCCTCTTGCGAGGAGGGTGAAGCGCCCGTACCTGTTCCCGCTTCTGAGGGTAGGCGGAGAAGTCGCCAGGTACGTGGACAAGTCCCCAAGTATGTGGAGAAGTCGCCAGGTCTGCCTTCGCGGATCCGATCCGCACTGACTTAGCTTTTTGGACTGTCCGGAGCTTGCCATAAGCGCCCCAGCACCGGCAACTTCGGAGATAAGCCGCTAAGGACTTTAAAATGGACCACTCTTCACCCAGAGCTGGCACTAGCGCATCCGAGCACACAGTAGCAGCTGATGGAGCTCTAGATTGCCGTTGTGCTATATGCTGGTTTAGAATTGACAATGTAGCTTACTTAAATAGCTGCTTCCATAAGTACTGTTTTCACTGTATAGAGGCGTGGTCAAACATCACAGCTGAGTGTCCACTATGTAAGCAGCCCTTTGACTCTATTTTCCACTCTGTGAGGGGAGACGATGACTTCACGGAGTATATCGTAAGGGCTTCATACGATGGTTCTGTTGTTCGACGACATGGCTCCCATACAACCGTGACAATGGAAGGAAATGTTTCTGCACCTAGGGGTGCCACGAACATAAGAACAACAACTCCACCAGATACTGGAGTTCTATTTCAAATGTTAGGCAATTCAACAAGACGTAGACATGTGGCAATTACTGAGTTACTGAGTCAGTCTGCAATAGCGAGGCCAATTACTGCCCGGGAAATATCTTTGCCGGCAGTTCAAGGACAAGATATTATTAACTTTAGACGAGCTCTCTATCGTGCTGGTGCTCGAGTTAGAAGTGTGGAAAAGGGTGGCCGCTATAGGGATATTTCAGCTGAATTTTTCCGTAGAAATCCAGCTTCCCTGCGCAGATTAGTGCCATGGGTACAACGGGAACTTAGAGTTCTTTTAGGAATTCGCGAATCTTCAGTGGCTATCGTCCAGCACATCATCATGACTAATGTTACTTGCTATGATATGGACAGCCAGGCATTTGTGTCTGATTTGAGACCATTTTTACTCAATCTAACTGAGCATTTTGTACATGAATTGATCAGTTTTGCTCAATCTCCTTTTCGCATGACAGTGTATGACCAACACGCTAATTATGATTACCCTGTGCCTTCCAATGAGAAAAGGAGCCATTCTGAGTCTTCAGTTATAACAATATCTTCAGATGACTCTGAGACCCAAGCGCTGGATATTGATGCAGCCACTGTTAGTCAGGCACCATGGGATGATGAAACACCGGGACCATCTTATACGAGGTCAGAGAAGGTACATGCTGCTACGTCTTCCCTTTTAAATGCTTCTGATGGTTCAGATGAAGAACTGGTCACAGAGGGAACCATGCCTCAGATACAAGGAGTAAAAACCACTGAGGACTTAAATAATGACAGTGATTCTTCTTCAGATGATTGTGTCATTGTTGGGTTTTTTAAACCACAAGCTGAGAGGATCCCAGAAGTTGTTGAACTGTCTTCCGATTCTGAGGAGTTAAGTACTCAGGAGGAAATGGAGACAGCGGAGACCTGGGAACAAGACCCAGGTGATAGTGATCTTCGTAGACGTTCATCTCTGCCCCCTCTCCTTGTAACTAATGAGCATATAAATGAACGTCATCCTGATTCATCAAAGAAGGAAGAGGAACCATGTACATCATCATCGGCTAGAGTCTTGGCCTCATCTTTGAGCGGAGACAGAGTATATTCTCCAAACGGTCATAGATATTGGAAAAGGGGAAGATCCAGAAGTTCATATTCAAAGTATCAAAATAGAAGTGAGTATGATAACAATCCTAGAAAGCATCCTGGGAAGAAAAGAATGGAAAGCAAAAGATCCAGAAGTAGGGAAAGTAGCCCTAGAGGGAGAAGAGACAAAAAGAGATCAAGAACTAGAGAGTGCCCTTGGTCTGGCAGCAGCCAAACTCTATCTCTAAGTAGTGAAAGCACAAACAGATCACAAGCTGATAGTAGTGATCACGGTAGAAGAAGGTCACGGAGCAGAGGTCGAGATCATTATCGTTTCAGAAATGATGATGGAAGCAGCTATACATGGGACAGGGATGACTATGAATCATCTTATGGGAGAAGAGCTCTGTCCAGAGGTCACTATTCCAGCCAATCTTCAATTCCAGAATATAGAATTCAGTCCTTTTCTGAAAGAAACATTTCTAGGGAGAAAACTAATCCCATCGAAAGAAAATATGACTACGATGAAAGGCATACATCAAGGAACCTTTCTAGTAACAGGTCAACAACTTCATCTACAGGGGCCAGGCAGGTCAAAAATGAAAAACCTGGAGGGAAACGAAAATACAAAGCACGGCATTTGGAGGGTTCTGAAGAAGGGGTTCAAGCATCTTATGAATTTTCTTCTCCTGTAAAGGAGAGTCATTACCAAAAATCTTCCTCGGAATTGGATGAAAACTACAAAAACGAGAGTGACAGCTTTTCAGACAGCCTATCATCAGATGCAGAGATGAAACGCAGGAGGAGAAAAAGGGCCCGGAGCCCGAGTGTAGAGATAGTTTATGAAGGACAAGCTACTGCTACAACCACACATCACGAAAAGAAACAGAAGAAACACCATGGAGACAGTACTTCGCAGTCCCCAGTTGTGATCGTCATCGACAGTGACAGTGACAAGGATTCTGAAGTAAAAGCAGATGCAGAATACGACACTAATGGGGCTCAAGACCCTCTACCAGATGAGTTCTAGGCTCCTTCCTCGGAACCATTTGAAACTGAAGATGGAGTTACAAGAAAGATGAAGTTGGTGTCCTGGACAAGAGTGTGATATCACCGCACTTACTAACAACTTTGAATAATGCCAGCAAAACCGTAGGCAATATTCCACCCCCGGCAACTTCGGTTGAACAAACTATTGATAGAAGAAAAGAGAGCACATCTGCCTCTGATTTGGAGACCAGCTCAGCAGGTTGCATGGATCCAGACTGAGCCATCAAGGCAACTGTCATCTCCACTGACATGACTAATGTCAGTGTCACTTAGCACAGACAAATATGTCTTCAAACTGCCAAAGCAACTCATTGAGAATTCTGGCAGCACAAAAAGGGAAAAAAGGAACAATGTCATCTACTACAGTCTATTTACAGATCACCTTTGATGAAAACTCTTTTCCCCCTTATAATATTTTAAGTGATTTTTTTGTATGTTAATTTGTTAAATTCATTATTTCTTCAAAAAGTGTTTATGTCCCACCTATGCACTTTTAAATGAAGAAAATGATATTGCTAGCAGTTTATTTAAAACTTAGGATCCTTTTTAAATAAAAATAAGTAAATTTTAGAAGTTATTTCATATCGAATTTTGTTCTTTGAGAGTTGCTCTGGAAATGTGTTATAAGCTGGGACAATCCCTTTGGACAGTCTTTATTTTTCATCTTAAAAATTTGTATGATTCAAAACCATTTCTTCAGGTTAAATTGAGGCATTTTAATCTGTACAGTTTATCTTGACTTCTGCCAAAAGAAAAATTTACTATTTCCTTTATATACTTGTTAATCTGGACTGCTGGTAAAACAAATGTGTATTCAATAAAAGAAAAAATAAAACAGTAACACTTTAAAACAAGAATCAGAAAATACAAAAAAAAAAAAAGAATTGCCAAGGAAAACTATTTTCTATCTTAGGCATACATTAGAACATGCTAAGGCTTTCCACCAGGAAAATTAAGAGAAATGTCAAACCTAACTTAACAGGGAAAAGAATTATTGAATCATCATGGTTCTTCTGCCCTGCTGCTTTCAGTGTAGCCAACCCGCTCCTGGAACACTAACAATTCGCCTAGGACTAGCTCCCACAGTCAGCCCACGATCCTTTCTTGTAATATCCAGGACTCTGTCTTCACCTCCATCTCCTTCTCCACACCATGCCCCTAATTTGTTTTTCTGACTTGTCTAATTCTTCTTCTCCAACACCTCTAAAGATTTTCACTATGTCATGACGCCTTATATACAGCAAACTCACAGCATGGGTTAAGAAGGTTCTTCCTATCCTCAGCTCTGCCACATGCCAGTCTAATCCCAAGTCCTACTTGCCTTCAGAGTCCCTTTTGAGTTCTTAGAACTGAATACTAGCAAGACAGTGACTGCAATTTGATTTGTGCTCTTCCTCAGAAGAGGAGTGCCATCTTATTTTATATGTATAACAATAATAATAACAGCAGCTAATACTTCTTTAAGCACTTACTACGTTTCAGGAACTGCTTTTAGTGCTTTACATATATGAACTCATTTAACGCATATAAGCACTTTATGAAGATGGAAAAATGAGGTACAGAGGGGTTAAGTAACTCATCTAAGGTCACATACATAGTAAGTGATGGTTCTGGACTTAAACCAGAACAGTCTGTTCCAGCATTTGTGCTCTTAACCACTATACTTTGCCATACACAGCCTCATAGAAATAAGGTAGATGTATAGGAAAATACATCACTTCATAATGAAAGTCTTTGGTCTTATATACCAGGAAACGTAGATAATGGGACTCAATTGATTAATTTAGGATCGGAATTGACTAGAATGGGTGAGTAAAACTGAACAATCACACTTCACAGTTGGGAAATGGAAAAACAGAAGCCAGACTTTAACGAACCTGACGAATAATCGTAACACCAATATCAGTAAACGCTTAGGCAATTTAAGACAAATTCAAATGGCACGAAAGTTCTTCGTTGTGGTGCACAGGGCACGTGGTAGCACGTAGTTCCAAGCATGACAGACATCTGGGGTGTAACTCTTCAATCATTCAAACCGAATTGAGATAAAGACAGTGAGTAAATCCACATTGTACAGTGAGGCGCTGGCACCAGCCATGGTGGGGCTCAAAAGCAACGCATCAACAAGGCCTTACTGTTCCCTAGAGCGTGTGCCCATGCTGGTGTCGAATGTTCGCTGGGCAGCGAATTCTGGCCAGTGGTTCCTGAAGATTCTCATCAATCAAAAACATTATAAAAAGCTGGGTAATACTAGGAAAGAATACAGGCAAGCCCTTGGTAGAGCAATACTCTCCAAATGGGATTATACTACAAACTATTAATACTATAAATTAAACCATCACCATACCAGTGCTTTACTTCAATGTATTTAATTCCACAACAAACATACAAGGGAGATTTGCTCATCCCTGTTACATGTGAGGAAATTCAGGCTCCTAAGGGACTAATTCAGCCAAGACTTCGTAGCTAGCAGTATTAAGGTTGGATTCAAATCCAGTTTTTTATGACCTCAAAGCTTATGCTCTTAACCACAAAGCCATTGAGAAATAAATAACGGATGGTATCAAGTACAGTTCTTTTGCCTTAAATGCCTAGAATACTGAGTGTGGACTGGCAGGACATTGTGAAACCTGTGGGGGCATAGAAATTGTCCAGGTCTTCTTGCAGGCTCTTCCTTTACAAACCCCACATGGTACATTCACAGAAACATTGGAAAGAGCCTCATAAGCATGTATCGTGAGGAAAACAGCTGTGCCAGAGGGGCCTAACCCTTTCCCCTGTCTCCACTAAGGAACACAAGCCTTGATCAAAAATCATAAGGGAAAATCTGCATTATATTGGGTTAGGCAAAGAGTTTTTGGAAATAGCAAAAATATGACCCACAAAAAAAAAAGAAATGATAAATTTGAACTTTTTTCAAATTAAAAATTTTCTGTACATGAAAGATCCTATTAAAAGAATTAAGTGACAAGCCACAGCCTAGGAATATATATATGCATATTACATTTCTGAGAAAAGACTTATATCCAGTATATACAAAAACTCTCAAAACTCAATAATAACATCATGAACAGTCTAATAAAATGGGCAGAACATCTGAACAAACATTTCAGTAAGGCTGATTACTAGATGACAGTTAGGCATATAAAAAGATGCATTATTAATAATTAAGGAAGTGAAAATTAATACCATAAGGTGAGACCACTACACACCTACTAGAATTCCATAGAAACAAAAACGAAAACAAAAAACCTGGCACTATCAATCGCTGACAAAAAGGTGGAGCAACTGGAACTTTTGTAAGAGGCTGGTAGGAATTCCAAATGCTTCAGCGACTTTAGAAACAGAAGTATGGCAGTTTCTTATGAAATTAAATATGTACCTATCCTCCACACAAAAAAGCTGTACACAAATACAGGAACTTTATTCATACATACCAAAAATCAAAGGGAAAAACACAGATATCCTTCAACTACTCAATAAAAGACTGGAATATCCATAGAATGGAATATTATTCAACAAGAAAAAATAACAAGCTATTAACTCACACAACAGCATGCATGAATCATAAATACATTTTACTAAGTGAAAGAAGTCAGACCAAGAAGGCCACATAATGCATGACTTCATTTCTATGACACTCCAGAAAAGGCAAAAGTAGAGGGACAAAAAAATGGATCAGTATTTTCTAGCTTTGGGGATTTGGTAGAGGGGTTGTCTACACAAGGGAATTTGGGGATAAATGTGGTGGTAGATAAATGACGTTAATATTTATCAAAACCTATATAACTATAAACCACAAGGGTGAAAAATTCTGGTTTTTATTTTTTTAATAAATTTTATTATGTATATTTCAGGTTTACAACACACTATTATGGGATACGTATAGATAATGAAATGGTTACTGTGGTGAAGGAAATTAACATATCTATCATCTCACATACTTACTTTTTTGTGTATAAGATGTTACAAATCTACTTTTTTAACAAAAATCCTAAATATAATTTTATAAACTATAGTCCTCATGTTGCACATGAGATCTCTAGACTTGTTCATCCCACGTATTTGCTACTTCACATCTTTTTACCTACATCTTCCCATTTCCTCTGGCCTCCCTTGCCCTTGGTAGCCACTGTTTTATTCTCTATCTCTGTATATTTGACCTTTACCAAAAAGAAAAAAAAATGATTCCACATATAAGTGAGACCATGCAATACTTTTCTTTCTGTGTCTGGCTTATTTTCACAAGTGACACAAAGAGGTGCAGGCAATCTTGCTACAAAGGAAATGGTATTATTTCCTGACTTATAATACTCAAAACTTCACAATATTAGAAAGCCTTTCATATCAGACAATTGCAGAAGGTTTAATTATTACAGAGCCCTCTCTTCTGGGTGCCTGGAGGCATCATACAGAGTGAACACGAGGATCTGAAGTGAAAGAACCCAAGTCTCATGGATATAAGAGTCTTATTAAATCACCAAAATATATTCATCGCAGATCCTGGCAACAATACAATGTGTAGAGAAGACTACTCAACAGCTTTGAGAAAATATTGCATCCATTGTTTAAATGTTTGGCTCCAAGAGGCGGTCAATGGTAGCAATGACACTTGTGTTTAACTTCGATGCTGGTATAGTTAAGCTCTTCGTGTTGTTACTCTTTTTTAGAGGACATGTCTTCTCATGACTAATTTCTTGTATAGGCTTTTATTTACACATATAAATGATCTTAAAGTCTGCATTAAATATAACTTCCTTGATTCAAGAAAGCTATTTGAACTTTAAATAAAGACACTAACATTTAAAAAGGGAGATTTGAAATGCAGTTATCTAGAAATCAAGCTAGATTCTATATACATTTTAAGTTTTAAAACAATACAATCACTAAGTAGACAATGATAAGTGAATAACATCTATGACCTCTTACTATAAGCCAAGTAAGTCAAGTAAAGTATCCAGCATTTGATCCTCACAATAACACTATTACATAGGTGCTATTACTTTCCCCATTTTATGGTTGAGAATATGAAACTCAGAGGGGTTAGGCAATTTAGCCAAAGTCACAAAGCTAGTAAGTGGCAGAGGTTGAATCTGAAACAAGTCTGTCTCAGAAGCCCAAGCTCTGATAAATTACCCAACCAGTGCTGTCCCATAGAAATATAATGCAATATTCTAGTAGCCACAATAAAAAGTGTGAAAAAAAACTGAGGAAATTAATTTTAATAGTACACTTTACCTATCCCAATATAGCCAAAATATCATTTCAGTACATAATCACTGTAAAATTATTAATTTGATATCTTACTTTTTTCATATTAAGTCTTGGCTATGCGGTGTGTCTTTTACATTGTAGCACATCTCAGTTTGGACTGGCTACATTTAAGTGCTCAACAGCCATGTGCAGCTAGTGGCTACTGTATTGGACAGTGCAGCGCCAGACCATTGATTCATTTAGCAAATATTTCTTGAGAGCTGCTGTGTATCAGACATGCAAAACAAAGACCTGCTCTTCCTAAGTTTAGATTCTTTGGAATGAAGGAACTCACAAGTAAATAAACCTATAATTAAGCAACCAAATATCAGATAGTGATGCGTGCTATGAAGAAAATGAACTACCACAATATTATAGAAAGTGACTAGGTGACCACTTTTGATTGGGAAGATCCTGTGAGGAGGTGACATTCTGAAGTATCTAAACTTCCCTTGTGTACCACACACTATGGAAATACAAGATAGTGCAGTGAGTATTGAGGTCTATTCCTTTCTATTGTGTAAATCTTCGTACTTGCAACATAATGTTCATGTACTTATCTATGGCTCCATTCATAAAATTTAAATGACTTTGGCAGTCACCTTCACAGGTAGGTGGTAATTTTGGTGAAAATAAGGGCTACATATTTCTGCTGGGGACATAGCTGGGAGAAAACAGCAGCACAAACATAACGCTTTTAAAATATTAACACATGGCCAAGATAAAGGCTAAGGTGGAATGAAAATAGAACAATTGAACTATGTACATATCATCAGCTTCAATCTATTTTATGCATTTCTATAGTTTTTAAAGTTTTTTCCTCTTTAAAGATATAGACACTTGATTTATGTATATACTAACCAACTAGGAAATTCTTGACCTCTTCAGTGAGATCATAGAAAAATCACTTGAAGAAATTCATCTTTTTTTTTTTGGAAACAGTGTCTCAGTGTGTCACTCTGTCACCCAGGCTAGAGTGCAGTGGTGCAACTATTGCTCATTGCAGCCTTGAACTTCTGGCTCAAGTGACCCTCCTGCCTCAGCCTCCTGAGTAGCTGGTACTACAGGCATGTGCCACCATGTCAGTCTATTTTTTTAAATTTTTTGTAGAGACAGGGTCTCGCTATGTTGCCCAGGCTTGTCTCAAACTCCTGGCCTTGAGTGATCCTTCTGTCTCAGCCTCCCATAGTGCTGGGATTACAAGCTTGAGCCACTGTGCCTGGTCAGGAAATGTAAAACACATGAAGAAAGGCTCCTTCTCTTGAAGTAAGTAGCATTCCAAATTATTCAGTATTGAATAAGAAAGCAGTTAACACTGGAGCAAACCCTGCTTTTCAATTCATAATGAGAGTTGAAAATAATAAAAACCACAAAATCACACTTACTATAGATTGTCAGTTTTATATCCTTGGCTTGTTTGCCAGCTGCATTAGACACGGTACATTGATAGCGCCCCTTGTCACTTCTTCGTGCATTCTTTAGATGTAAAACTTGTCCTCTATCTAGGAGTTCAATATTAGGATCTCCCAAAAATAAAGGCCTAGAAATGAAAAAATTTTATCCCATGGGTACATTTTTATTTTTCCATGTTTCCTCTCTTATTAACCACACCACAACTCAAAGCAGTATAAGGTTAAAAATATGAGTGAAAGTTGGCTAAAAAAATACAATAATAATATTGGTATTCCTATTCCGAAGAATGAAGTTATTAAACTACTTTATTAATGGAAGTTAGGTAATTATCACTTTGAGATTAAAAGTTTCTCCATTTCAAACTTAAATTGTTTAATATTATTGACAGAAATCCCAGTACTGTCATTATCTGTTTTATTCATTCGTCCATTCTTACTCTTATTCCTTTTTTTAGTTTTTTTATTTTTTGGTTTGCACAGCCAAAATTTCTACCATCATCTGGAAAAGAAAAGCTAAGAGTTTAATATTACAGTATTGAAACTTCAGGCCAAGCAATATTATTTTAAACCAATATCATTATAATAGCTGGAAAAGTATTCACAATTGTATTAACAGTTATTATTTACCAAAGGCAATGATTATGCCAACTTCTCTAAAAAGTAGGTACTGTAATAAATGTGAATGCTTATATAATCATAAATATTGAAGATATTTATGCCAAAAGAATTTCATATATGGTTGTCAAGAAAGTCTTTTTCTACTATACAGAGATATTTACTGACTACTGTAAGATGCTCAATTTATGTAACTTACATCAGATTTATTTTAATATTTGAAGCATCATGGTTATTAAAGTCTATGATATCTTAAGAATCCTACCTTTAAAATCCATTAATCTTCTTTCAGGAAGATCCACAGCTAGTTTTTTTAGAAGTTGCAGTGACTTAGCCACATAATGAACAATTACATATACTGCTACATCAATAAGCCACTAGTCAAACTACACAATTAAATGGAAAACACATTTAATTTTCTATGGTAGCATCCTTTACCATTTCTTAATATGACACTTTGTATAAAGCTCTCCAAAGCTAAGAGTACAAAGTATTTTAATTTAATACATTTTAAGTTTTAAAGGAAGTAAATATTTGATAATATGTTACTCAAATTTAACTAATGTTGAAACTTTTGATTAATTATGGAAGCAACATAAAAGTTTCAACCAAAAAGCATTATAATAAGAAAAATTCTCCTTGGTCTATTACCCCTAATGTGAGTCTTTTAGATTTCTCACCATTATCACTGTGATTTGAATTCCCCGTCACATGTTTTGCTAAACATTTTTACTCATAAATATATCCCCAAAGAAACCTAAAGCTCTAATATATAAATGGTATGTTATCATTCTGCTTTTATTTTCACTCTACAACAGCTATGGAGCTATTTTTGGTATACATAGCTTGATCTTACTCTTTTTAATTTAATTACCGCACAGTGTTTCATAATACACCATGAGTAATCTATTTTCCTAATGTGAGCTTTAGTCAATTTTCACTTTTCTGCTGTTGTAATGTTTCAGTGAATATCATTCTACAAGCCTCCCTGCAGACATGCATGACTGCTTCCCTCTCCTGGATACTGAAAGTGGAATTATTATATCACAGTCCATGAGCATTGGAGTTTTAATAGATAACAAATTGCCTTTCAGGGTACTAATTTACATTCTCCCCATTGAAGTACTATATCCTGATTTCCCACACTCTAGCCAACACTTGATATTTTCAGATCTTTACTTTTCTTTTTGCCAGTATGGCTTGTAAAGAACAAAATTTAGTATGTTTCTTACCTAACTATATTTTTAATTGCCTGTTCATAGCCTCCATACATTTTTCTATGTTGTTTTTGTCTTTATTATTAATTTGTAGAAAGTTTGATACAATCCTTTATTTCACACATTGTAAATCTTGACTCTTTGCTACTTAAGCCTTAGCTACCTGCTCTCAGAAACTATAGTAATACATGAACTGTGACCACCCTGTGAAAATCAAGTTCTCACAACCAACACAGATCATCATAGCCATTTCAGTGTGGGCAAACCTCAACAGCCCTTTAGACTTGCAGTCTGAGAAACATCTGATTGTTCTTCTATGGTTCCTTTTCACCCACACATAGAACTAGTTTCAGTATTCATCTTGCTGTCATAAACACACTTTACTTTTCAAAAAGTCAGTACCACTTAAAGACAAAACTATCTCTGCATTTAGATCTTTCATTTTTCACTGTTAGCCTTTGAACACAAGATATTTAGCATACAGGCATCCCCAAGTTTTGTACAAAATACATTCCCAAAAATGTCTTTAGGTTGGATTCGTAAGTAACTTGGATCCCTAATGAACAGCCTATATATGGTAAAAATAATAATAATAATGATAATATCAATATAACGGCTCATATGTGGTAATAATAATACAGTGTAATACTGTAATAATAGTAATAATAATACCCCTGTCCTGTAATAATAAGTTACAGAAAATATTGTGCTTTTTCTTTGAATTCAAACAAACAGAACATAAAAACAAACTTCTACAAAAAACTTTAGATAGGAGATAGGAGAACTTTCAAAAAACAATATTAAAGGTTAACACTCACCTAATGTTGCATCAATGCTAGGCTAAATGCTACACTTAATTTGATCTTCTAACCAACCAATAATAACCTTTCCATTTCAATAATTAATCCACTACATTGCTTAGTAATAACTGATGCTTTCATTAAAGGACCGCCTTTCACACATTCCATTATTCTCACTTTATCCCTTATAATTGTTCCAATAGTCCAGCTACTGAAGCCTCACACTTTCCCAATGAATGAGGGCATCTGGTCTTTCTAATTATTTCTACTTTAATTTCTACTGCAATCACCTTCCTTTTCACTGCAGGCTCACGTGGACTTGCAGTGGACTTTTGCTTTGGAGGCCTGGTCATAAGGGTAGACACAGACTCACAAAATCAAATAAAAAGTTAAGATGAAAGTGATGCTGCGGGTAAGCAACCACATAAACAATGAGACCGGCCGCTAGCATAAAGACGCAGAGCCAATGAACTGCTTATGCCGCGTGGGTTTGTTTACATGCACGGAAGAAACCAGTTCTTGAAATATTAATTTAACTATTTAACTATAAGTTAGCTTCACGGGGAACCTCAGGAACCCGTTTGCAAGTACTGAACACCGTAAAGTGGGTCGTTCATAACCCAGGGACTACCTATATATTAACTTTGAGTTCCTCTAGGTTTCCAAAAAAAATTCCCGACATTTATAAAAGGCCTTGTAATTCATAAGAATGAAAGACTTTAAGACCGTTCTTTGAGCAATATGGTTTTCTTTATGCTTATTTAATAATACTATGTGATAAAATAATTAAAAGAGAAAAAAACCACACATATTTACACATCTATTTCTTATCAGTTGGATCCTAGCAAAAAATACAGAAAAGATACTTACTTGCCATCTTTGAACCACTGAATAACAGGAAAGGGAGTGCCTTTGGCTCGGCATTCAAGGGTGGTGTCATGGTTGAGGACAACTGAGACTTCATTTGGGGAGTTGGCACCTATTATGGTAGGTGGAACTTGAACAAAGACATTTTATCATGAAAATCTATGACTTAGCAAAAAGAGTGAGGGGAGGGGAAGAAAATAAGCAATAAAATATCACACAATAATGCATTTTCATATCACATCTCTGTACCCAAATGTTAGATTGAAATATAGAGACATATTCATAAAAAGATGTGCTAGCAGAACAATTACCTGCAAGAATTATGATAGTAGGGAATTTGTTCTGAGGCACATGAAACCCATGTGCAAAAGTAGTTCAGAATGTGAGCAGCAAAGCTCATATAATGTAATTTACTATTGCTATGTACTTTAAACAATGAATGACATAATCAACATTAATCTTACAATGTTCAAATTCTACATAACACACTGTTGTCCCGATTGAAGTACACGACCTACTTCCTTTTAGAGGACTCCTATGGTAAAATTGGTATGATATTTCACATGAAAAATCATGTGCTAGTTTTTATTTCTGGAATTATCAAGAATATTAAAGAGCTCCTATACACTTCCCTGACCATCTAGTCTTCCCATTTCACCCCATGTTAAGGTATTCGGTCTTCTTCTTCAGATGAATGACCAGCCACTAAAGGATTTCAGTGGGAGAGGGATGTAGTGTGATCATATTTGTGTTTTAAGACCATCTGGGCTGTTGAGTGAAGAATGGATTAGAATAGTAAAAAGTGGATGCAGGTGAGCAGTTAGAGGGCTATTACATTAATTAAACTCATAAATGACGAATATAGTTGCACAGTGGAATGGAAAGAAGTAGATAATTTAACACAGAATTAGGAAGTAGACATAACAGCATATAGGTGGATTTAAAGAGTTGGAAAGATGGAAAAAGCAAGTGGATGGATGGAGGTCCTGGTCGCTATGATGGGGGTCACTGAGGGCAACCAGAATGGACATTTGCTGGGACCTTTCTGTTTGATACACGAGTAAGATATTCAAGTTAAGATATCATGGAGGAGATTAGACATCCATCCCTACAGTTTAGAGAAATCTGAGCTGGAGATAACAATTTGGGAGTCCCCAGCACACAGATGGAATTCAAAGTCATGGGAGTAAATGAGTGCCAAGAAAAATCATGCCAATGAAACAAATGATTACTTAATGTGTTTCTATAGCCCACATTTAAATATAATAATGGTAATTTGGGGGAGAGAAAGTTTCAGGCTTTGAGAATACTAATGAGAGAAATCATTCATTTCCACTCCAGACTTACAAATTCTATGTCCATTGTGAGAAGCAAAATATTGAAAATAGGGAAAGACATTTTATAACAAAGTGAACTTTCAATGACAGATATGATTTTACAAACTTATAAAATTTCAAACTTATGGAAAAATTTTATATCCCAATTAATTACAGCTGCTACCTGCTCTCAGAATTCTCTCCCCTTAATTAGAATTAGGACTGACTTAGTTGCAAGAATTAATTAGAATGCAGGGGAAGGTGGATTTGCTACCTTCTCCAGTTCAAGAACATCCTAGCAGCTTCAGGACATGTGCACAGCATGAATGTGTTGGACTCTGCACCACCCTGGATAGCTATTTGCCTGAAAATTTCCTGCCCACCAAACTGGGAAAATTGACAAGAGTAAGAGTTTCCTGTTTTACCTAAGATAGTACCATTTTGAGTATTTGATACTTTGGTGTATAAGAATACAAGGCATCTTTGTATTATAAATAATAAATGTCTTCAAACTTTCAATATCATATGGCTCTGGTTAACTCATATTAAAGATAAAAACAATAGCAGAGTGAAACGAATGGTATTTTTTCTATCAATTTATTTTTATCCCTACTGTTACATATAGTCAGTTCTATACTATGGAAGAAATGCATCTGAGTTGTAAGTTCTTTTCTCAAGGAACGTTTTCCTTACCTAGCACATCGATGTTAAAGTACTTCTGGGAAGCGCCTGCTATGTTAGTTGCTTTGCAGTAATATCTTCCCGCATCCTCTGGAGTGGCTTTGAAGAGCTTTAGTATCTTCCCATTGTTCACGATCTGAATAGCACTGCTTTCAGTCACCTATAAGGGACAAAATGGGGTTATTTCCAATCCTAATAAAATGCATAATTATAAATTGAAGTAAATGTTTATGTTGTTATTAATAAGAAATTCACATCAGAATAATTCATTTCCCATGCAGAGGCAAGGGATTTTACATATTTGGAAGTCTTCATTTACCTGGACATCATCTTTATACCATGCAATGATGGGAGATGGAGTACCTTCCACTTCACAAAACAGACTGGTCAGCTGATTTACCATCACCGACACGTTTGTTACTTGTTCTTTATCTTTAATTACTGGAGGAACTGCAAAAGCAAAGGCGTCATGGTTAGACAGTTTGATAACAAATATTATTTATGAAGTTTCTTTATAAAGACCTTTAGAAAGTAAATTCTGAGATACTGATGGCTAGAAAAGCTAGTCATATTTAAGCATATACTTACTATAAAATGAAAAGTCTTGACCGATTTATTTATAAGTAACAACCCTTATTGAATTTTTACTTTAATTATTATTTCAAAGTTTTAGATTTAAGATGAAATTCAGATAAATTTAAGGGAGAACGTATATATTCCCCATATCACTCAAAATACAAGTTGCTATGATCTTAAGTGGGACTCACCACTTTGCTAATAGGAGTGACTATTTCCCAGTGTCTACGGAAGCCAATATTCATCAAATTTTAAAATGTACATACCCTTTTACTCATGCAAAATGGCACATGTACAAGATTTCACTGAGGGGCTACTTACAATAGAAAACAACTGTTAAAAATCTAAATGCTCATCATCAATACAGGAAGGTTAAATAAACCATGTGTAACCATACAGTGGAATGCTATACAGTTAGGGATATTGAATAATCCCCAAGATAGGTTGTTTAGTAAATTAGACAAAGAACAGAGTAATGGGTATAATGTTCTACTAAATGTTGTACTTTTTATAAGTAAAAGAGGACAAAATTGTATACATTTGTATTTCCTTGTTTATGTATACAATATCTCTGTTAAGATAAATACACACACACATACACACATACACACATGCACATATACATGCAAAATTGATAACTTTCCTGGACTGTAGAGAGGATAGCAGATGGCTCAGCTCAGGGTCAGGACACTTTTTACTATGCATTTTTTTCTACCATTTGAATTTTGAATGATGTAAAATCACAATAAAAAAAACTACATAAAATTTTAAGTAAAAGAAAATGAAATAAGATTATCAGTTTTCTGTTTGTTAACATAGCTATTCACATTAATATTAATACTACATCGAGAGAATAATCTAAATATGTAAGAATCGATAACTGTTAATATATTTAGTTATATGATTTTAGCATTTTATCTATACATACCATGGACTCTGAGGTTATATTTTCTTTCTGTGGTTCCAGCTTCGTTGACTGCCACACAGATGTACTCCCCGTTGTCATACGGTGTAACAGAGGCAATAGCCAACAACGTGCCATCTTCCAAGATAGAAATACCAGGCTCTCGGCCTGTCAACTCTCTACCATTGTGTAACCATTTGATGGCTGGTTTAGGAGTACCTAAATAGGAAATTAATGTCTTGTGATACTTTACAACAAAATTAGAAATCATTATTACATACCAAATATATCAAGGAGAAATAAGATTTTTGTTATGACTCCAATTTATACTCTTAGGTACTATGCTACTTTCAAGATATTTCTCCTGGCATGGAAATTTGAAGAAAGTATGGTAGTTAATGCCTTTAATTCTTGATCAGTCTTAAGAGATCTACGGTCTTTACTGTAAAGTCTGAATGAAGTTGTTTTTATCAAAACATTCGGATGATAGTAAGCAAAGTATTTTCTTGGTGAGTTCACAGTGATGAGCAGGAAAAAAAACTGTATTAATCTTGCTGACTAGATATGGGAAGAGTTTTGTGGTAAAATAAAGACAGAGCAAAAATAACCGACAAAAATAAGATATGTCACAAAAATATTTAAGATTGCCCAACCAAATAGAGTACATAAGTGATGTGCAGAAATGATGTTTTATAATTCACTTTTTTAAAAGGCCTGATACAGTAGAGATGAGGAAATTCTACTATCCATACATCTTTTGGAGATTTCATTCTGTTAAACAAAGAACAACAGCTAAATTCCTGAAAAGAAAGTAGAGAAAGCAGTGAGCAGAATTGCTTTCCTGGATATATTTATGACCAAGAGAGTGAACGGAAGTGACGTGCTCATGGAAAAAAATGACAAAACTATCTTAGAATGTATAATAGAGCTAAAAGGAATATTGGAAACAGACAAACATTAACTTTATATTAAGAATGTATTTACTTAGCTAACAACGTGCCAGGCTCTATTCTAAGTACTTTAAAAATTCACTTACTCTCTTTGAAGTTAAAAAGAAAACAGATTAAATAAAATCATATGATTACATCAGACATTGTTAATAATCCTATATTAAAGGATAATAATGTTAAAAGATTGACATATAATCCAGGATAAATACAAAAGAATGACAGAAATACACAGAATGTGTCATTGAGGTGACACTCAAACTGAGTTAGAGACTTATAGAAGTGACTATGAAAGTTATATTTATGTAAAAAATAAAAGATTGGCCTATTTACTTGTGCTCATAGTAAAATATTGACTTATGAGGAAGAGAAGGTAAACTGATGAACTCCAGTTTCCTGTCCCTGTTGTCAAGAAAAAAAAGACATTATAATCATTTCCCTATATCACACTCATTCCTTTATGGACTTCAGTCAGACTTCATAATTAATATTTGTTGAGGTAATTAATAAAAAAGTAAATGAAAAAATAAAAGAAAGTAGTTGCATTATCTTTAATTTATAAATGGTAGAATGACCATCGTCAAAATGAAATTCATACAGAATATAATTAAAAGGTACTTAGCTGCTTTAAATTAACTCAGGCATTATATTCCAGCTGAAAATAGGAGCTGGGAAGAGATGCTTTTTCAAAGTGGAAAGGGGAAGTCAAAACAAAGAAACCATCCTGGGAGTGAGGGATCCAGTGGAGAACGTGAGCAACAGTGCCACTGGGAGCATCCAGCGATGGGGAGCACCCACAGCGCTACCTAAACTTACACCCTTCCGAAGAAGGTTTCCTCTCCAGGCCTTGCCTCCCTGATTCTCATTGGCTCTGGGAATACTTACTGATAATCCTTTAGATATCCGAAAAGCTTGTTAAAGTTATCATCCTTTTAATATTGGTAGAACACAGAGTAATCACTGGTGACTGCTACTGTTGAGAGACACAAAAGCTTGCTACAGAAACAGACACAGCATGAGGACCTTCAATTGCTGCTGCATCCAGAAACAAGTGCTAAGCAGCACCCGTGGGAGCACAAACGGTACCAGCCACCTGGGGCCCTCCAGGAGGTTATGGAAAGACTACTGCTTGGACTTTGCCAGAACTGATACAAACCTGGTGTGAATCACTGCAGATGAATGTACACCCGAAAGAGAGGATGCTCTTAATCACCTACTTGGCATCCATCATAAAGGTGAGAGTGACAATGCCTCTTAATGCCTCTTTCACACCCCTGCTCCCCAGCCCAGGAGAGAAAATAGCAATCTCTTTTCAGGAAACATGGTAGGATAGAAAGCCCAGAAATTCAAGGAGAAGAAGAGCCTGGATAAAGAAAGCTCCAAGAGACAAGTTATAACCTGGCCCAAGAATTACTAGTTGAGAGTGGGTCTAGGAAAAGAGTTAGAAGTTTCCAGAACAAACAAGGGGATAGTTCTAATTCATACCTCTGACTGACTGAGATAAATCTGGAATATTTTGAATAGCTCTAGCTCTCACATTTTAAAGAGAAACCTTGCCAAAAAAAAGAATGAAATAAGTAGCAGGAAAGACATGAACTACCTGGAAAACATACTAGATCAGGCAAGTTTGAAAGAATGGAAGGTCTTTCCATGGAAGGAAATAAAATACCTGGGAGGCAAAAATGCTTATTCAAAGAGCTGTTATTTGAAAGAGGGGTTAGTTTCTATTATGCCCAAATATTGTAACAAGGACTGACAAGTGGAATTTTATAAAGATGATGTTTGGGGTTTAATATAGAAACCTGGAACAAGATAACATTGTGCTGATGCCTACATCTCTGAGTATTACACACCTTTTGCAGGACACGGAAATGCAATGCGTTGACTGACCACTCTTTCTTGGAATGGAGTATTATAGGGAGGTTCTAGATCTTCCACTGTAGGTGGTTCTATTGGAAAAATAAATGCATTATCATGAGCTTTCCTTGGGCAATTTTAAATTCTCCTGAGGCATCAACAAACACCTGCATTGATGAGTTGCTATTTCTCCTGATTCTTCTTTTAAATATGACTTATAGTTCCAGATGCTTGACATTTCTACCCTAGATGTGACTCAGGACCTTAAATTCAAAATTCCCCAACCAAAATTCATTATTTCATGCTTCCCATGATCCTGTTCTCTTTCCCTTACTCTTTCAGATAAGGCATTATGGTCCGCCCACTCATTTTTCGTTCTCTCTACTCCTGACTTCCATATCCAATCACACAGTACCATATATGTTCACGTATCTGTATATTCCTCTCCATCCTTAAGGTCATTGCTTATTTCCAATCCTTACTTTCTCTTACCAGAACTATTTCAATAGACTTCTTATTAGGATCCTTTTCTAAAACACGTTTCCCTTTGGACTGATATTCTACACAGTCCCTGGAATACTGTCTCTGAAACACAAATCTCATCATCGACTTCTCTAATTAAAATCATTACTTGTACTCATTTTGTCTATGGGATACAGTTTCAGACCTGTATTTTCTCGAGTGCACCCTATTAGTACGTCCTGTCTCTCTGAACAGCCTCACCATCCACTCATTTCACAAATTGGGAGTCATTCTTGAGACCGCCATCTCCTTGACTCCCCATATCCAATCCATCACCATGTCCTGAGGATTTCCTCTCCTAATTATTTCTTTAGTCCATTCCCTTCTCTCCCCCATTCCAACTACCATCATCTTTTTTTTTTTTTTTTGAGACAGAGTCTCACTGTGTTGCCCAGGCTAGAGTGCCGTGGCGTCAGCCTAGCTCACAGCAACCTCAAACTCCTGGGCTCAGGCGATCCTCCTGCCTCAGCCTCCCAGAGTGCTAGAATTACAGGCATGTGCCACCATGCCCGGCTAATTTTTTCTATATATTTTTAGTTGTTCAATTAATTTCTTTCTATTTTTAGTAGAGACGGGGTCTCGCTCTTGCTCAGGCTGGTCTCGAACTGCTGAGCTCAAACAATCCCCCCACCTCGGCCTCCCCGAGTGCTAGGATTACAGGCGTGAGCCACCGCACCCGGCCTACCATCATCTTTTGCCTGAGCTACTGAGATAGTCTACAGCAATTACCCCTAACCTTCTCTAGTAAAATGATTCTCTCCTAAAAGAGTGATCTTTCAAAATCCCAAATCAGCCATATCACTTTCCATTTATAACTCCTCGAAGTCATTTCACTGCATTTAGAATAAAGTACAAACTCATTCATCTGGTTTCCTAGGTTTTGGATAATCTGACCCATGATTATATCTCCAGCTGCTTCACACATTACTCAGCCCTCAGTCTGGATGGAATGCAGCCAGCTGGCCTTGATTGATTGATTTACCCAGTGTCTCCAAAATATTACATGCCCTCCTCTTCACATTCTGTGTCCTTATCCTAGAAGCTTCTCTCCACCTTCTCCTGAAAAGGCTGCCCCTCACTTCTTCGCCTGCTTCAACTCTCAACTGACATGTACCCACGCCAGAGAAGCCACCTCTGGTTTGTCCTTCTGTTAAAACCTCATGCACATTCTTCCACCATTTCATGATGGCACTAACCAGTGTGTAATTATGTACTTGTGAGATTAGTTTATAAATGCTGATCTTTCCCATTCAACTATAAACATAAGCAACCAGTAAAATTTGTCGAATGAATGAATAGGACAGCCTCTCCATTAATGTTTTGGCCAACCCTCCAAAAAGAACTTCAGTGTGCCAGGTACCTTAGTACTATACTAATATTAGTATAGTATTAATAATTAATCAATACTAATAGTACAGTAGTATTATTTAAGACTGTACTGAGTATTATACTAAGTACTATATCTGCTTATCTTTTATTTTTGTCTTTTTACTAGTATTCCCTCTGACAGGAATGCTCTTCCTACTTATTTCCATGGGGCTGGTTCCTCCCAGTCTGTAAGATCTCACTGTTAAATATCACCACTTTAGAGAAATCCTGCCTGATAATCCAATCTAAAGCAGCCAACTGGCCGGGCGTGGTGGCTCATGCCTGTAATTCTAGCACTCTGGGAGGCCAAGGCGGGTAGATCGCTCAAGGTCAGGAGTTCAAGACCAGCCTGAGCAAGAGTGAGACCCCTGTCTCTAATAAAAATAGAAAGAAATTAGCTGGACAACTAAAAATATATAGAAAAAATCAGCTGGGCATGGTGGTGCATGCCTGTAGTCCCAGCTACTTGGGAGGCTGAGGCAAGAGGATCGCTTGAGCCCAGGAGTTTGAGGTTGCTGTGAGTTGGCTGACGCCATGGCACTCACTCTAGTCTGGGCAATAAAGCAAGACGCTGTCTCAAAAAAAAAAAAAATAAATAAATAAATAAATAAAATAAAGTAGCCAACTGCCAGGACCATCATCCTATTTTAATTTTCTGCACAGTACTTCTCAGAATCTGTATTTCTTGTTTACGTGTTTGCTTGCTTTCCGTCTACTCGCACTGGAACAGCTCATGAAAGCAAGTGTTTTGCCATTGTCATTGCTTTCTCAACACTACCTAAAACATGATAGACACCTGGCAGGAGCTCAATAAATGTTTGTTGCTTGAAGGAATAAATACTGATCTTTAAATCCTCAAAACAAGGTCGACATCAATAGTGGTGTAGCAGACCTGGATTTTCCAGGGATCTGTTTTGAGTGAACCCCACCGTGAGGTGAAATCCTACTCCAACTCACTCTGTCCACAATTTCTCCCAAACCAAAAACAGTGGTTGGGGCATAATCTAGGATTGTTTCTATTATCTACATCATCCATGGTAAACTTCATTTTCAAAAGTGAACATACAAAAATGGATGTGGGTTTAGTAATAGTATAGCTTCATTTCTTTCCGGAATGATTCCCCTTTCGAAATTAAAGAGTCACAAGAGTTATATAAAAATCTTGCTAAAGTGATTTAAGATTATCCAAGACTATTCTATATAGACTCCAGGGGTTTCCCCCAACTCCACACCCACTGTACATATATTTTATTGTGTCAAACACTACCTTGGACATGTAGTGTTATCTCAGTTTCATCACTGCCTGCTATGTTAGTAGCAACACATGTATATACGCCAGCGTCTGAGGGCATGGCTTGGCGGATGCTTAAAGTTCCATCTGGATTGCTGATATGCTGCACTCCGTCAGCCAGCATGGTGCTCCCATCTTTAAACCAGGTGATTACAGGAAGAGGTGTCCCTTGAACATTACATGGAATATCCACTCTTTGACCAACTTGGACTTTCATATGTTTAGGGCCACGCTGAATCTTTGCAGGAACTAGAAATAAGAATTGAGTATTAATAATAATCCAATTTTTCAAAATTCCTTCCTTTCCTCCAAATGAGAGCTCTTTTCCAAGAGGCAGCATGGAAAAGTGGAACAATCTCAAGATTTGAACCTGGGTTTGGACCGTTTACTAGCTGTGTGATCTAGGGCAAGCCGGGGAACTTCCTGAGGGCTGTTTCTTGATAATCCAGGCAAAATAATCTACAGTACCAGTACATTGCAAGGATTATAGGAAAAAAATAAATATAAAATGCTTAGTTTCAAACTTGAGGAATAGCAAGCATTTAAAAATGTCAGGTTTCCTTTAATTTATAAATAACTTAAGGTTTTTAAACTCTCTTAAAAGGCAATCCAGATAACTTGTATAATATAGAAAAACAAAAAGCATTTCTATGTACTCAGTTTTTATTCTTTGTGGAAGGATTAGTCGGACAATAAGAAAAGTTTCTCATAAGAGCCTTTGCTAATTTCAGAGAAGAAAATCACATAGAGCCTCTATCATAGAGCCTTTATCCATCTTCCTTTAGAAATTTAAAAGAGGTAATTTATCAAAACACTGGCACGAGATTCTTGGTTTCCACATATATGCATTGTGTACTGTAGAATCGAGTTGAACCATAAGTATATAATTAGAATTTATGTACCATACATCTCTAAAAAGCCTCATTTCCCTATCTTTTTTCTTTAATTTAATATTTAATGAACATTCTCTAAAGGTTGTCACTCACAATCTATAATTACTATTAATAGTAATATTATCATCATTTTATGAACAAGAAAACTAAAACTAAGAAAGGTTAAATAATATGTTTAATGCCTTACAGCTAGTAAATGACAGAACTCTCATCTGATTTCAAACTCCATGGTCAATAGGACACAATTATAGTGATTGATCTGAGAATGAAATCAGATCAATACTTTCTGGGAATTTTTCTTATGATATTTGAATATCTGTCAACTAAACAATACCTGGGTTAGAGTATGCACTCAGTGTGTTGAATGAATAAATAACTGGACAGATTGTGGTAAATTGGAGGAATAAAGCAGACTAACTAGAGAGGTATAAATTAGTCAAAGAACCTTAGGAAGCAGACTGTTTTTCAGTTGCTGAGCTCTTTAAATATTGAAAATGACTATTTAAATACTATTACATTCTTCTTTGAAATTTCATATTAGCTTCTACAAAATGCCACCAGTTTAAACACATAATTTTTTCTACTGTATATCAATAACAATAGTCATGAGCGACTATGAACAACTAGAAAAACTGAGATCCAAAAATTTAATACAGTTCATTTGAAAAAGCAAAAAAAGGAAGGATGTTTAAAGACAGCAGATAAACTTTTCAGAGTAAATGAAAAAATTTAGAAGTCTCATATTTTTAGAAAACTTGTTCTATAATCACTCTACATATAATTTGGAGGTTAACTGTCAAAGAAACTGGGATTATGAATTTCCCTGTGATCATTGATAGGGTTCTCACATGCCTTTATTTCAAAACTCACCATGGACATTTAATTTAACAGACTGAGTCACATTCCCAGCAATATTTGTGGCAACACAAAGATACATCCCACTATCTGAAATCCGGGTCTCAGTGATCTTCATTGAACCAGAAGGGAGGAACATGTGTCTGAAAGAAAGAAACCACATAGTATACCAAAGAACATGAGAATTTAAACATCCCGTACATAGCTGCACTTCAGTGTGAAATTATTACACTGCGAGCAGTTTTTGCAAGCATTCTACCGTCTGCAATGCATATACATACACCTTAAAGGTCACGAATTTTCATATATACCTTGTATATTCAGTATAATGCTTTTGAAAACACAAAATTAGTCTACTTTTATCTTTCAATCTAACCTAATGGTCCAAAATCATTAAATAATTGTATACCTCTTTACTAAGTTGCAGCTATACAAAGAAAATGTATATTTTAATAAACTTTGAATTTATTTTGGACATTTTATTTTTTTCTACAATATTTCAAAAAATATTTAGTGTGTTAAAATAAAGGCAAAAGAAGGTACCTATGTTCTCAAACATATTTTGAATATATTCCTCCTATCAAATAATAATGTAGTTGGATGAACTAGACATACATATAAAAATGTAATTACATAAAATTATGTTAAAATAGTTTTTGGGGGGGGGTGGAAGCTAGATAGACCTACCTCATCACAGCTCTTATAAAGCCAAGTCAAACAAAGTGTGATATTGGCTCAGAAACACACAAATGGATTAATAGTTAAGGACGGAGACCTCCAAAAAGACTTAAGTGTATACGAGAACTCAACATGTAATGGGCATCACAGGTGATATTACAAAAAGTTAGGAAAGAGGACTTACAAAACCATTGGCTATTCAAAATGACATTGGGCAACTGGCCTTCCAAATGGGAAAAATAAGTAAAATTAGAGCACTACTTAATGTTATATAAGAAATAAAAATTCATATAGATGAGAGCCCAAAATACGAAAAACAAAACTTAAAATACTGGAATAAAACATTGGCGGTTATGTTTATAATCTGTTTCATGTTAAGAAGACACAAAAAGTACAAATCTGAAAAAAAATAGATTAATACATTGTGCTGCTTAAGAATTTGAAACTTCTGTACAACCAAAGACATCATACATAAATAAACTTAAAACTCCAGCAATAGACTTAGAGAAGGTATTTTCAACACATACAACAGACAAAAGATTGTTATCAAGAACAAAGACCAAAATTCTATATTCAATAAGAAAAAGACAAGTCACCAGGACACTGTGCAGCAGATTTACAGCTAATTCACCAGTATCACAAATGGCCAGCAAACAGGTTAAAACTGTTCCCAGCTCACGTGAAGTCAGTCACATGAAAATTAAAACAATTCCAAGGTATTATTTCATACCCATTGACTGGCAAAGATTTTTAAGTCAGTCCATACCATGCATTGATTAGAACATGGAAATAGGTACACCTATATTCTGATGGTGGATGGGTAAATAGATACTCCCCTTTGAAGAGCAATTTAGCAATGTCTACAATGCTGGAAATAGGAATTCGTTGTGACCATAAATTGTAGTTCTAGGTTTAGGTCCTAAAGAAACTCATGCATGTGTATATAAAAAGAGATATAAAATGATAGTCACTGAAAAGACTTGCTTGTAAAAAAAAAAAAAAAAAAAACAAGGAAGGAAGAGAAAAAGAGAAAGAATAAACCAACTAGAATGGAAAAATAAAATGTAGAATATGCATGTAGTAGTTAAAAACAAATAAACTGAATCTATATGTATAGTAGTAGACAAATGTTGACTTAACAAAGCAGGTAGTAAAATAACAATATGTTACAATGGCAAATTGAAAACAGAAACACAAAATGAAATGTTAAAAACACAGAAAACCATTTTCTATACTGTTAAAGAATGTATGTATAGGATGCATACCAAGTCTGTGGCAACGTTTGCTCCAAAAGAAATTGTGATTGGGGAAGGAAAAAATAGAAATTTAATTTTATCTGTAATATTGGTAGTATTTTTACTCAAAATAGTCAAAATAATTTTTAAAAAGTAATAAAATTACATAACTATTTACATAATTTTAAATTATATAACTATTTATATGATTTTTAAGTATGTAATTTAAAATAATTTAATTGTTAATTATTTTCCCCACCAGCAGTAGGGAAACACTAACTCAAATTTATATCTTCGTAATTATATATCAATAAGTCTAAGAGACAGTTAATTACAGTCTAGGGATTGTGATTCTTATTCTACCAGTAATTTTTGGCATGGTATTGACATAAAATAGTAACTGAGAACAGGGGATGTTAAATGTACATTATCTTATATAATCCTCTCAAGTAAGTATCATCCCCATTTTGCAAATAGAACTATGAGGTTCAGAGACATCCCTTGAAAAATTGCCAAAAGTTTGAGGCAAGCTTTAAGTGGCAGAGATAACTTTAAACTCATTGCTGGATGTCAACAAAGGATGTATTCTTAAAGCTCTGGCATTCTTCTTGCCATGTCACTTAGCCCATTCAATACAAGGTATTGTCTCAATGGGCCTTTATTTGTATAAGGGTTTAATTAAGAAGACTTACAAAACCATCCAGTGAAAGTCAAATCCCAGACATCAGAGTTTCTATTGTGTTTTATTGCTTCTATGGGATTAATGGAATTCTATGCGTGTTATACACATTGAGCTAATGGGAATCTACATACAAGTCTGCACCATTTTAATAACTACCTTGTAAAATGTACCAGTGGGAAATTACGGCAAAGCTGAATGTTAGCATTTCTGGTATTAAAGATGTCAGAAGCATGATTTAGAAGTTATATATAGTTTCCGTAGGCTCAGATGTACACGTGAATTACCTCAAATTTAAAAGCTATTTTTTGAGACATTTGAAAACCTGAACAGGCACAGCCATCTGTCTCAAGAAGTTGGGTATGTTTTTGTGTGTTGTGATTCATCCCAGATCTCCTACCTTGGAGAGAACGGAGAGATGAGCTGGGTTTCTTTGGCCCAGGTAATTATGGGTGGGGGTGAGCTCTTCACTTCACACGGAAGCGTCACCTCTTCCCCGGCAAGGACGGAGATCTCAACAGGCTTATCCTGGGACAGTCCTCGTTGGTCCCCAAACACTCTGGGCCTTACTAAAATAAACACGTTTTGGGAGGGAAATAGCATTGAATACAAAACAGAGTTTAATTTACATTAAAGTGTGGACTACTAATGTCCTTCAATAATTTATAAAAAGATGCTGTTTATTCCAAAGTTTCAGGACTTATCTAAAACTATCCATTAATACTTTTATTGTGAGAGCTAAAAGTGAAATGACAAGAAAGTTTCCCTTCTCTACAATTCCTTTCAGAACACAATCAAGAGCTCAGTTGAAATGTCCTTTTAGAGTCTACCATCTATAAAAGTAACCCCTCAAGGCAGAGCACTACCCAAGACATAGCTGAGGTTTGGCTTTACTAAGAGTTTTAACTAAATGGTATTACTGAAGAGGGCTGGGTGTAATAAGCATACTTCTTGGGAAAACACCATAAAATCTTTCCGAAGAACTATACAATCGCATTCCTTAAAATCAGAATCTAAGTAGAGGTGATTTTGCTTGGCAATAAAAAATGCATTTTTGTAGAAAATAGAAACTTGGGGGAGTGATTCACTTTAGGGGTACAGCCATCTGGTAACAGTATTTGGGAAAGAACTGTGAGTTTTGGCACAGATAGACAATGTCAAAAAAACCCCATTCCTCCACCAGCTCTCACCATAGACCGTCAGCTGCACTTTCCTTTTGGCGTAGCCAGCTGCGTTGGTGGCAGTGCAGACATACTCCCCACTCTCTTCACCTCCTGGGGACACCACATACAGACTTCCATCAGCCCCTGCGGAAAATTTAGCACTGCTGGTCGAAATCAGCTCTCCTTTCTGCAAAACACAACAAAAAGCAAAGTTTTTTAAGATCGTAAAAGAATGACTTAATGTCTGGAAGAGGAAAAGAGAAAGAAAACATCTCCAAGGGGGAAAAAGACTAAATTTTAAAAATGATAATTTGAAGAAAGGTATTTTAAGAAAAATTAGACAAATAAAAATACTAAAAATGGTATTTCTCCATGTGCCCTTTGTTCCAGAGCTATTTAAAAAGATAGAGAATAACAGTAATAGTAATGGATGGTGCAGTGAGTGCTTAAGCTACACCAGGCTCTGTTTTGGGCACCACACTTCATGTGAATAAACTATTTTAATGCTCACAACGATTTTATGAGTAGGAACCACCATGCCCCACTTTTTAGAGCTCAGAGATTAAAGCACAGGGAGAGGCGGGTAGAGGAACTTGCTTAAAATCACGAAGCCAGCTAGTGGTAGAGGCGGGATTGGAACCCCTCAGTCAGGCTCTGGAGCTTAAATTCTTAACCTCTGCACTTGGCAGCACAAAGGCCAGTCCGGAAATTTCCATTTTTGCATTTTCCTTAAAATACATTAAACTTCTTCTCAGTGCCAGATACTATGCAGTTCAAAGATCAGCTTTACCATTTTGATTTCTGTGTCCAGAATTAAAAAATGTTAACTTTTTAATTTATTTACTGATGCCAATATCGACTTCTCCATATTTCAGAGATTTTTAAATGAATAGAACTAGATGGTATGGCGAAACACTAACAGTGCTAATTATACAAGTACTACATTTAATTATTATGTCATCACTTTAGGTTACTTTATCTACCAGATTCAAATTAATTTACAGAAAATATGCCATCTTCGGGGCTGTTCAAAGATGGAAAGGATTTCCTCAGGAGATGGGTTTTTCCTCACTGCAAAAGTAGAAGTAAACCAAAACGAACAAACAAACAAATACAAGTAAAAGCTGGACAACTACATAACAGGGATACAGAGGGGAATACATGAGTTCGTATACGTGTCTTACGATTTTTAGTCATACATGGAATTTGTGACTATACCACAGAACTTTATAAAAAGGAAAATCACACAGTCATATCACTTGGAAGGGGCCTTAAAAGGTCTTTAGTGAAATCGCCTACCTGATGTTTGAACAGTGTCAGCAACACAACAGTGCACCCTTCGAGAGCACAGCCTGCGTGCCAGGAACTTTCCTAAGCACTTCCCATGTTGCAGCAGATTGTTTTCCGCCCCTTGCCACACCCCTTCAGCCCTCAATTTCAGCGCAGCTCTAGTGGACAGTTCCACGTACTCTCTCAGAGTCATACATCATGCACTAAGTCTCCTCTTTCCTGCCTCGGGGCTTTACCAAAGCCCCAGAAGGCCACTCACCTGTGCACAGGTAGCCAGAAAGTGCAGGGGTGTTAACTCGTCTGGGGGCCATGTGTCCTGTATAAACGCCCCATTTCCTGTCCATCAGAGGGATCCTTCTGAGGTACATCTATGCAGTTTCTTGGAGGGTTCCTAGCATGTTAAAGGTTATCAGCCCAGCCACAGAGGAAACTAGCTCAATGAATCCCTTTAAGAACTTCCCCTCCTCCATGCCTCATTCCCCTGCTCTCCTGCTCAAGACTTTGGGGATAATTTCCAAGTGAACTTCACACTCTGCTCTTCAGGAAATATGACTAGATATATCACTCACCTTGGACCAGACGATAGATGGCTTGGGCACTCCACTTGCTTTGCATGGTAAAGTTACTGGAACGCCCTCAATCGTACTGAGTATCTGCTGCCCGTGCTGAATGGTTGGCAGAACTGGAAAGGGAAGCAGGATTCAGATCTGAGCACATGTTCTTCCATTTAGCATCATACATTTAAAGTTGAACATTTTCAGTATATATTTAACGTTTGTAAAGATTAACAATAACATTTTCTCATAGAAAGGTAGGGAGTATGTAAGGGAGTATACCAAAGAAAATATGATAGTTATGATCTGGAAAATTTAATAAAAGCTTAAAATCAAGCAGTAAGTCATGTCTAATAAGCTGACCTTCCTAACAAAAATAGGAGAGGACTGAGGAAAAATTATTTTTTCCTGGAAACCCAAGATAGAATTATACCCTAAGAACAACACATTTACGCATATCTTTGATCACTGTCCATTCCCCACTAAGCTACGGTGAGCTGACATAAGCCCACCCCAGAGAAATGGGCTGTTTAATCACTACCTATTAAATATCTGTCTATACACACAAATCACTGAGCAAGCTACTAAATTTAACTTAGAAAAAAATATTTGTTTTCTTAAAAAGAATTCAGCAGTAAAACTTGAAAGATCTTAGAAGTTTACATTTAAGACTGCAATACAGGATTCTAAGTCAATATTTTTCAGTAAGAGGAATAACATACTTTTGACTTCAGAAAGCAACTAAAGAATTAACATTATATGAGTAGAAGTAAGAGGAAAAGGATTAATGTTAGATCACTCAATTCTGTGTATATCACAATAATCAAATAATGATTTTTGTTAAAGAATCTTCCATATATGAAAGTTCCTAACGCAGTGCAAGGAAAACAGTAAACGCCCAATATATACCATGCATTTCCTATCCATCTTCTGGAAAGATGAGACTGGAACTGCTCCCAGAAGTTCAATCACTCATCACATCTTTTGTTTAAAATCAAATTTTTCCAGAATTATCATAACTACCCTGGAGTAGAAGTTTGCTAGAACAAGAGATATCAGAAACCTCAGTGCAAAAAAATTCCCTGAGAGGCTCAGATTAGATATACTACAAACTCATATTTTCCTATAGCTGGGCTTATTCTTTAGATAATTTCTTCTTAAAGAATTGGCAGCAAATCCCCCTCCCTAAATAAGAATTCCAGGCTACTCTCTAAAGCACGAAATTTAATTTTCAGAATCATCATGGAATATTCAACTTTCAACTGTGCTGTCAATTTATGGCCACATGGAATAAGTCATTTCTTTAAATGCCTATTGAGTGTGACAGCAATACAGAAAAGTGTCAAATTTAGGCAACAGTTTTGAAATCTGATGAGGTTTGGATATGGAAGATACATTTCTTTCCAGATTGTCAATCTGCATAAACCAATATGACAGTCGAACTGCTTTGTCATTTTAGTTGGCACTTACACTTGCATTCATTCATTCATTCTTTAAGAATTTGTGGAGAGCCTTCGGTGAATATTCTCAAAAGTGGAGAGGCAGAATGATGAAAGGGCAACACCGCTAATCAACACGAATATGGAGGCCTGGAGAAGCTACGACGCAGCATCACATCCATCTGCCACGTGGCTCCCAGGTTTAGCTGGTGCCAAATGGCTAGGTTGATTTTTTTTTTACTTAGCTGCTCATTTTGGACAAAGATGGATCAATAAATGCTATGCAATGACCCCTTACTTTTTGATTATTAAAACTTTTGCATCATGATAAACCATATCATTGCTTTGTCTGTCTTTTCAACTCTCAGATCTGGCAGATATCACAACTAGTCCTGTCACTCTTTCACCCAAGTGAAAATTTGACCTCAGAATCCTTCTCAACACAATAATCCAAGCAGTCACTAGAAGCCAAAAGGATATGACATGAGGGTATTCCTATACTAGATTCTCAAACCATTCCAAAAGCACTGTCTAGGAAATCTATGGTCTGGTCTTCTTGAAAAACAGTTACACAACCATATCGAATCTGGAAGTATGCATTTATTCTTTTAGGCTATAACTAATTTAGTGTTGTTTCGGTATTTCTTTAAAGTAATACTTCTCCAAGAATACCTAAGGTGATGTTGGTGGAGACTTGGTATAAAACTGAGAGAGGTGAGAGAGGCTCTTTAAAATAAGAAGCAGGCATAAAAAAGAAGGTGGTCTGCATTCATTGAAATTGTCAACATACCCAACAAAATTTGAAAACTACTGGGTTCTCCAATTTGTGTTCTAAATAAAGAATGAATCAACTACTAAAAATAAGTGTTCTGTGCTACTTTCTTCTCTAAGCTATTCATCCCTGTACACAAAACTATTTTTAATACTACATTTTTTAAAAAGCAATGTTGCAAAGTTTTTAAAGGAAATACATACAAAAGTTATGATAATTTCTTAAACTATGAAGCTGTCACTTATTTATTAAGATGTAAAAAGTTGGTAACTGTTAGTCATAAATGGAAAAAGATAGCTTCTGGATTTTCTTATTTGTGACCTTTAAGTTATTTAACATGCAAGAAGATTGTCTGGAGCACATGAGATGACCTTTAGAAAAGCTTAGGTCATTTCTAGCTCACACACAAAGGGGTCATTAGTAAGGACAGGCCTGTTGCACAATCCAAAAAGAAAAGGCGATTTGGATGGTATAATAAGTTCAGCTTGCCTGAAATTAAAATGCATTTTTAAACATAATTCTTTGAGAACTGAGTTCACTTTTATCAATTAAGAAACCACTTACAAAAGCCCTTGGCCAGACTCAGCTGGCGACTCCCAAGAATGTCTTTTTGTGTACACAGGAAAGGGAAATCTGGAAACAACATTAACAATGTAGATATTGTTCAGGAAATAAAAAACAAAAAGTAGGGGAGGTATTTATTTGTAATTAGAGGAACAGAGTTATTTGATTAAAATATATGAACACAACTTTGAACACGGTTTGGAAACAATCACATCGGGTGTGTCTCTTACCATGCACGACAACGGAGGTGGTTTTGTTACTGGTTCCAGCAACATTACTGGCCACGCAAGTATATTCGCCGCCATCCTGAAGCTGAACTCTTTCAATATGGAGGCTCCCATCGCTGCGCACCGTGATGTAAGGATTTTGGACCAACTTAAAGGAAAAAAACAATGGTCATTTTTAATTTAAAAAGGCGAGGATTCGTCTATGCCAAAACCAGATCTGCTTTTTTTCCAACTGAATTATTAAATGTCTTATAAAATAACAAAATATTTTAATGCCCTTAAGTGGAAAATGATGAGCATTAACTGTTAGCAAGAATGTAACAGTTGTATTTAACCCTGATAAAACTCTAAAAATTATACCTACTAATATTTATCAGGCAGTTTTACACATGCTACAAAAAGGAAGAAAATAGACACCACTCGTGTAATGTTTTTATAAATTTTGTCATCACTCTGAGGACCCAAATTTCACTAATAATTTTTACTTTTGGCATAAACAGTTCTTTTCCAAGAAGACTGTATTATCACTAGCAAGCCATTTTATGTTTTTATTTTGGCACACAGGCACTTATTCGAGCCAAGGGAGAATGACTTAATCTCAATACCCATCCTTGTCAGGTGACAGATGCAAACATTAGCGGACAATATATGACATAGGAATTGCGTCAGAGAAGCCTGGTGATATTTTCAGTTGAGAATGATCACCTCCAAATCTGTATCATTTATGCATATTGCATAGAGGATACTTTAGTGCTCAAATAGTATCATCCTATAAGGGCGCTTGTTTTTTAAGTGAGGTATACTAATTTTTCTCAGGTTTTTATGCAAATCTGAACAATTTTACAACTTCTTACACGGAGTCAATTCACTTCTAATCAGCACATCAAGAAGAGAGTGAATCTCAATACTCTGGAAAATTAAAGGAAAAATGTTCTAAAGTAGATCGCATGTATATGGAAAAAACTTCATGGAACTGTAAGAACTTTTCACATCCTTTCATAATCAAGTCATACACTGAAAAACAATGATAATGACATAGATCTACTTTTAAAATAGTTCATGATAAAAGATACAATGTTTGAAGTTAATAAGAATAAAGATTAATATATAAAATGAAAGAATTTTATGAGAATATTAGCATTTCATAAAGTACCACAAAGAAGGGTATAAAAATATTTAAATGATATGAAAATAGCTTAATATTTGCTTAAGTTTTTACATATTCTGAAAGGATTTTATTAGTGACCTGAATCTAGTGTGAAATTATGAAAATTATCACACTGATTATTTCTCCATTTTATTAATCCCGAAATAATATAAATGACATAAACATGTTAATAATGAAGAAAAGCTTTGGTACACTTACAAAATATA